CCCCCATGCCCCAAAGGACATTTGGTAATGTCTGGAGACAATTTAGGTTGTCACAACTGGGGGAGGGGGACTGCTACTGGCATTTAGTGGGAGAGGCCAGGGATACTGCCAAACATTCTACAATGCACAGGACAGCCTCCCACAACAAAGAATTATTTGGCCCAAAATGTCAACAGTGCAGAGGTTGAGAAAACCTAGTCTAAAGAATCTGGGTCAAAGATAGTGAGAAAGAAAAGAAATAAGAAAATTAAACTATCACAAGTAGCATAATTTTCTAAATTTGAAAAATAATTGGAAATACCATATAAAGGCCCTCCAAAGGAAAATTCTATGAACATCATTTTTTGAAATATTCTGATTTCTTATTCATATGCAGAATACACATGTGAATGCTTCTGAATAGGTCCTTACTACTAATTCCAGTATTCTTTGAACTGGCAATATTACTAAGAAATGTCTCTGCATGTCAGAAGAGGCCAGATCAAAATCCAGTAGGTGTGATTCACATGGTTCATCTGATGAGCTGAGCTCAAGTCACAAACCAATAAGAGCTGCAGGTGTTAAGGTTGCTTCAGGAAAATTTTTCATCCAATTTTCCCACTTCATATAGAGCTGTAATACAAGGGTTCTATAGTGCCGTTTTGTATAAGCTCTGAAAAATATCAGATATATGTGAAGAATTCATATATATGACATTACGATTTAAAAACACAACCAACCTGTATCCCACCTTTGTCCCTATGGTCCTTATTTTTAAATTTTTATACATGATGATTTAAAAAATTAACATTTCTTAAGATATCTTTATATGCTAGGCTATAAGTGTGCCTTGGGGGGAAAAAGGCCACAGTCCTTGTCTGTAAGCTTACAAACTGTTAATATTATGTAGTTTGATCATTACAGATAGCTAACCCATGTAAATTTGAGGACTGAATTATTCAAATTAGCTATTCACTAATTTGATCAGACTTTAGTACATGGAAAAATCTCCACTTCCCTCATGCTGGGTATACCTACTCTTGCCAGTCCTGATATCTAATATCCATTTCCCCTACAAATATCCAAATCATCCTGTAACAGCTCGATTAGTATACACCGGCTGATGTGTTTCTGGATTGCTTGCTCTGGCAGAGTTAAT